GGACTTTCATGACATGAGGGCAGCCTTGCTGTTCTGATCTGTCTTGTGCTGTAGCTGAGCTCTTTGGAAGGTGAGCGGTAGCTAGAACAGCCTGCGTAGGGTGCTTTTGGAATCTTTTGAAAGAGGTGCTCGAGTCGAGCTTCACACATGCTGTGGCCCTGGGCAACAAGCGGAAATTGGAAAAAAGCTTCTTCAAGCCTGTTCTTGGATAATCCACAGGCTGCAGAGCGGGACTGTAAACGTCCAATAGCTTCGTTCCAGCAGTTGAGCACATTGAGGGCTCTTTGATTAATTTGATCAAACGAGAAATCACCTTGTGTTTGCATTTGCCGAGGCTGCAACCAGCGGGTGTGGGGCACAGTGCTTGAGCGCACAGGCGACGCATGGAAGGCCACGACCTTTCTGATTTGATCTTGTGGGCTTGTTGGACGCGAGCAAGGAAGAAATGTTAGACGGACCTTTCCCCGAGCCGTGAGTTTGCGTGCCACAGACGTCCTGAACTGCCCACCTTCAAAGTGGTAGTTTCCCAAACCAGGGGGAGCCCAATATAGACACCAAAATTTTTACTATCCTTAGTATAGGTACCCCGGAAACCCCCAAGTCAAAAGAGCAGGTTCTTCTCGATCGCAGCTGGGATGGCACTGGATGGCTGCACCTTTTAGGCTCCTATGGGTGATATACCAACACCCAGGCAAGCATGCTGATTATCATGAAAGCTCCGATGCTGGAGTTGTATCGCTAGAATGTCCGACACCGTCAGCAGCGGCTTAACTTAGACCAGTCTTGTGAAGTGTCAGAACTGCCTTCTCAGTGATTCTCAGGATTGGTGCCACATCAGCTGAACCGATGTTTCTCTAGCTTGTTTGCTGTTGTTGATTTTCCCATTTTTGTTTTCCATGCTCATTTTAGTATTGCTTACTTACAACCCCAAGGAACTGTGAAGTTTAGAGCAGGTCTAAGGGGGGTTACATTTTCTTGAGTGCAAGAGCCCAGGGCGGAATCCCAATCAGCCACCTCGCGAGACGACGCGAAAATGGCCCCAGGCCGGGTTCGGCTGTCGAAAATGAAGCGGAAACTACTACTAGTATATACTGGGGTTATATTGGGATAATGGAAAATAACATGGAAACTACTATAAGTTAGTCTCCAGGGAGTTTTTATGGTTCAGATGGGTTCATGGGTTCAGTGACGCTCTGCTATTGGGTTAGCTCCCAGAGACCGCTCGAGTTCCCCTACACGTTTGAATTCACTACACTTTACATGTTCAACATAGTCACCTTTCAAAACAAAATCGAAGCATATGCCTAAGACAGCATGATGGGCCAGCAGGCTGCCATGAAATTGTCAGCAGTCTGCACCGATAATCTTGCAGCATGTTGCAGCAACAGCAGAGCTGCCTAGCCACTGTGCAGGTCGGTGACAGAGTGGAGGCTGAGTTCTTACGGTAGAGTGCTGCCCTACATGGCGGGTATGGTCAGCAAACAAACAGATGAAGCGTTTGCCATGGCTAGCAGTGAGGGGTTGCAGCGGTAGGATCTTCACGCAGGAGGCCTAGGCCCAGGTGGTACAGAAGCAGTATGCTGACGATTGCGGACAGAGGCCCAGTATTTCGGGGGCATGTTCTACGCCTGCAAAGTGGCTGAGATCAAGGACCCAGTGGGAACCTTGCGCATTTCAATTCAATCGTTTGCAGATGCGTTGGCCTGAATTTGGTTCCTTTTCCGTTGCCCTGCAAACTATTTATTCTGGCTAACCCTGGTCCAGCCGACACCTCCGACAAAACCCCAAGACTGAAGCTTTCCTTCGTGCTGCAGGAAATCGGGCCCTTTCCTCAGCTACCTCAGATTCTGAGATTTGCTCCCTTTCAGGTGTTGACCCCTACAGGGCAACTACTTGCGATAGTACTAGCTGCGGATAGCTTGAACACTTGCCTTGTGTGTTCCTTTCGCTGCAGAGTTGCGCACCACGGCCAACTTGAGGGGAGTTACGTTCTACGTCGTGGACTGGGACGATGGAGATGTGCGAGACAAGGAGACATCTTTTCGGATGGCTGCTGCCGCTGTTCCACGCAAAGCGCTTAATTGTTGCAACAGCAGTGCAAGAGATGGAAGCAAGATTTGTAGTAATATAGGGATAATGGAAAAGAAAATGGAAACTACTATATTATAATAGGGTATACATCGGGGTTATATTGGGGTTCTATTAAGTAATGTTTTTTTTAAGCGAGCAGGGCAGATCAGAGCCCGCTTAGCTGTTTCACAGCCCTTCTGCCCTTGCAGTTTTTTCCAGGACTAGATCGCGTGATACGAGCGCGATCATGAAACCTCCCCTGTCCGGAAAACAGGTGATGAAGCCGAGGGCCTTTAAATGCAAGCAGCCTTTCTAAGACGTTTCCATTTTCTTTTTCATGATGCCCTGTATATCACCCCAATATAGTAAGCAAAGAATATAAGACCTATATAATCCCAGTATCATATACTCCCTAATTCCCAACTACCCCTCAGTAAGTTCAAGGGGAAGCAGCTTGAGAACCACCCTGAACCAAAAACCCTAAACTTGGGCTGTCCTTAAGGGGGGTGGGCCAACGGGGGGTAGGTAACCTAGTAATCCCCATATTCCCCTTTTACTCCCTAAGCTCCCCTAAGGTTCCCCAAGGCTTCCTTGTACCTTCCCCCCCTTGAACCACCCCCCCTTTGGGATCCTATAATAAACCCTTAAACCCCTAAGCCCTTAGCCCTAAATAGTAGTTTCCATTTGTTTTTCCATTATCAATAAAGAAGCCCTATATAAACCCTAAACCCTCCTTAGCCCT